TGAAATCAATTCAGGGATTTTGTTTTTTCAAAAACTCATCAACAGTTAGTAATTAATTATACTTGGCGTGATTGACTTCATGGTTCGACTGAATCAATATGAGCACTTCAGCTAGTATTAATGTTTTATTCACATTATGTCTATAGAACACTTTCATTATGTTGGTCATAAATAAGATGTCTATAATTAACCCCACGGAGGTAACAATCTATGTTAATTAATAATTACATAAATCCCAAAAACGATGGTTGATTATGGCTATTTTTTTTTTTCCACTCGTGATCTTATTGCATATAAGATTTATCTCCGATAAACAATATGTGGATTGGATATGGGTCTAAATTGGTTGTTGACATTTTAAATAAGATAGTATTTATATAATATTGTGCCACAATTAGTGTGAAGACCTATGTGTAAGTGATTGCTATGTATTTCTTATCTTGATGTTATGTTTGGTTAATGTTTATCCTTGAATAATGATGATCTTAGTTTGTTAAATCGATCCCTTGATTTTAGGCATTGCTATTATTTGAACATATCTTTTAGTATACGATACTTTTCCATTTGTATATGTCCATTGTATATATAGCATGATTTTCTAATTAAGCTAGCATCTACTTGAGTTAATATACCATATACTTGTATATTATTTAGCTCATTTAAGTATTTTGCCACAGTTAAACTTGTGTTTCTAATATTTCTTACGAGTAAATGGTCAAAACTCAAGAACTTGATGTGTATGTGCTTATAAAAGGATTAAAGTTTGGGGCCTAATATATACGAAGAATGATCTAATTGTAATTCTCTGAAACTCATAAAACTAATTATACTTTTATGACTGTGATGATTTATATATGTATATGATGTCATGTTTTATTGTGCACACGAATGTTTTGTTCCACCACGTACAATTCATGCTAGCTAACACTTGTTTGAAGATGAATTTGACAACAATCATTTATTGTGCTACTTATATGTGAAAGGAGTTTCATTAATGAATTATACATTTTCATGATTATGTCAATTACATGAGATACTAATGTTTTTTTTTTTTATGAAATATTAAGACAAGTAGTGTACTACCAAAGTACTAATACACTAGTTGCATACTCCTTTTCATATATGGACGGTAAGTTCTAGATATTATTCATGTACATATGCATCATAATTGACATTATTAAAATGATCATATAATTTGAACAACTATCACAATTTTAACAATTTTAGTATGAATATGTTGATTGATGTGTGATTAAATTCAATAATAGTATTATGTACGAATGTACCTACTTGAAGTTGGATCATTGAAAGTAAATTAAATATGATTGCACAATATTTATGTGAACAAGAGATAGATGACATTGTGGAAAACTTACTTGTAAAAATATATTTATTATGCTCATACTTATAAGAGATTAATAAAATTGGGCAAGAGTTGCGAGTAAGAGTGTATAAGAATAATATTATTATGCAGGATACATGCATTGCTAAAAGAACTTATGCCTTAAAAGGTAGAAGAGATTTAAAGATTGTTGGATTATTTTTATACCCCCATAGGCAAGGATTAGGGGGAGATAGTGTTTATTCCATTGTTTTTATGTAATCCTTGCACATGAATAATTAAATATGTTGATGGTCAATTTGGTACATACACTAGCCTAAATATCAATTATTTAATTAATAGAGGTAGCCACACGATAATCAAATATTTAGAATGATACCATCTTGAAGATGGATATAAATAAATGTCGTTACCTATATACTAGCTATAAATGTACATATTAAGTTGATGTCCTAGAAAGACAAGATCAATTGCTATTAAAACTAGCACACCTGAAATGTGGTAATCCAAAGGGTTACAATGATAATATAAGAATTCTTGAAAGAGGAAAGGAGCAATAATTGACAATGACAAATTTGAGAAAGTGCCACATTTTGATGCATCTCCTGAAGAGATCATTTCTAGTATATTAAAATGTGTTATGGTTATATATAAAGTACTCCAGAAGAGTATAAAATGTTGTCCAATAAGATTAGCATGTATCAAGATTACAATCGATCAATGCTCTAGTGGAGTATGAGTATTAGTTAATTGTCTTACCAATTGTAGAAAAAAAACACATCAGTGTATTTATATCACATCATATTCATGGCCATGCATAAAAGTACTCTAATAAGGTGATCACCAATTTATAAAACTGGCCATAATTTAAATACTAAAGGAAAAGTGATTGGATGTGATATTAATAATTAGGCCATCCGGGGTTTAATAAATTCCCTCTATGAAAACATGAAGTTTCATTTGATATGAAAGAAATAATGTGTTGACGCTCTCTCATGTTAAATATATGAAATAAATTGAATGGCAAGACATAACATTGAGATTGAGCTATATTTGGATTGTGATTTTTAATAGTTTGTGTGAAAAGAAAAGTTCAAGAGATAATACATTAGTTTTTCTAAATAATTGGTGACCATAAGTTCACTAGAATAATTTATATGTTGACAAATATTAGGTAACCAGAAGCTCACCACGTACAAGTTATATGTGGAAATTCTAAGTAGCTAGTATCATACTATCAATATTTCTAGTGATCCCGAAGATCACCACCTAGTGAAATTACAAGAAAGTTTATATTTGTATAACAATTCTCTTGATTGGGGCTATTGTATGTTAGCAAATAAGGAATAAAATAATAAATTAGCAACTGCACAATTTATTACCCCTATTAATATTGATCTCTAGAAGAGAACAAAATTTCATTATTCTCCAGAAGAGATAGAACTTTGTTAAATATATATGATTATCCTACGAGACGAAATTTGATGCACATGAAATTATATTCTAAGTTGGTGAAGAATTGCCCCAATATTTAAGATATTTTACCAACTTAAGGGGGAGGATTGAAGTAAGTTGGCAAAATTATAAAATTATTATTAATTGATCCCTATTATAATACTTTGTAAAGTTACATGCCAACTTTTATGTCAAGATAGGTTGCACATCTACTATTTGATTTGTATACCGTTATGACCCATTCAAACGCAAAGAGATATATATTTTGGTCATAGAAGAATGTGCATACATTGAGATGAATCTTGCCTATTTTTGTTGAATCACTACACCTGAACTGTAGATTGTAAGATCAGTTCCAATATATGTGATATATATATGTGGCAAGATAGTGCAGCTGATATTAATACCATAATGTATGAAATACCATAGATAGAAGTGGTATATATAGATATCTGAGAATTATAATAGATGGCCTATGATATGAAAAAAAAAAATTTAATGGTACCAATTCAATTGGAGATGTATTCAGATATCATAGTAGATTAGCATGAAAACTTGTATCTTACTGAATTTTATAATACCGGTATACTGTGAAACCGATAAATAATATGCATATGCATTATTATAGAATGGACTAGTGAATAAGGGATCTGAAATACATATGTCCATTTTAATGTCGACATAATGATAATAATTAAAAGTTTATCATGGACCAGAAGTCCAATGAAATATGGATTTTTAAATCCACACTGTACAGTGTCTTGCATTAATTTGAGTCTTATGTCTCTGTGCATGCGTGAATCATAGGTTAATGAATTGCTTATTGCATGTTTAGGATGTTGTTAGATGCATTATTCATTGTATATTTTGTTTAATATCTTATCATGATTCCTATATCTCATATTGCATGCATTAGCTAGTTTCTATATAATGTTTGCGGTATATGTAATTGTTCATTATATACATAGAATACATATTTACAACTTTAATGGAAAATTAAAAAAGACAAATTTATATTCCAATGGGCTTATAATTATGATGAAATTTTATATGACAGTGATATAATATTATTTATGAATCATGTAAGAAAAGTTCCCAAAGAACTTATATACAACATATCTATAGCCCTACAAATTTTATATGTGAATATTACAATTATTATCAAACTCATGAAAAGTCAATATGACTATATCATCGATATCTCAACCTGAAGTTTGAGTATGTGAGATTCAACAAGTCTTTGTATTCATTGGCGAAATCTCATGTAAAACATGAAATGTCTAATTAAAGAATAAAGTTGAAATACTATTAAGATTAATATTCTTGTGGCCCAGAAGAGCCACGAGCAAAATATGTAATTAGTTTAATTTTTTAATTCTAATGATACTGGAAAATGAAATATATATGATGATATTAAGTGTTTCCATGATATTATGTTTGGATAATGTGATCAATCATTGATCATCATTTTGTAGTATATGTGACCTCCAGATGAAGGCAAACATCTAATTGTTATGATAATTCGAAACAAAACTATCGAATGAAATAGTGGTAAACACATGTATTATTTTCACAAGTATGAAGAAATGAAGACGCCTCAATAAGTCCATGTGAAGATTTGAATATTCAAGTTCAAGTTCAATTTCAAAGGATCAATCATCAAGAAATGGTGTTCTACTACATGGAATAAGTTACCCAACCATATCGCGTCGGATTTATTGCACTTGAAGATTTCACGTTAGTACGTTATGTATTCTTCAGGGGGAGAAAATACACGTTGCACTCTTTTTCCCTTAACCATGGTTTTATCCCACACTGGTTTTCCTGGTAAGGTTTTTAACGTGGCAGCATTTCGAGTGTATTACGAAGAATGTTATACTCTTTTTTCCTTCATTAGGTTTTTATCCCAAGGGTTTTTCCTAATAAGGTTTTAATGAGGCACAATCTTCGATAATAGACATCCAAGGGGGAGTGTTATGAAATATATGTGTATGTCTGTATACTCTACACTCTCCGAAACATTCTAGATCTAGGGTTTATTATTCTCAAAACAAACCCTAGCATTGTATCTGTATATATATGTATATCCCTATTCTATGGAATAGATACACAGATTAATTCTCTCTTAATCTCTCATGTTTCTCCTTATTTCACAACAAAAAGTATAAATTATTCCTGTCAAAAAAAATAAAGTATGACTGTCTTTTGACTCAAAATGAATAAACTCGTCATAGATTACTTACGGTAGTTGACAAGTAAGCGCACAGTAGAAAGAATGGGAATTTGGGAGTGGATTTATTCACCCATTAACGCCGTCAAACAGAACACTCCCAACATAACGCCGGTGACAGATGTTTGCCGGAAAACCTACGATATTTGTCGTGATTCCACTGTTCATGTCGCCGGCAAAGCACGTGACTTTCACGGGTACTTGTGCGATGATCAAGTTCGCGACAACCTTAGCAGTTTCGCCGTCAATGTCTCCAAACACAGCGCCCTTTATATCGCCCGATCATATGGTATATTCCTTCTCTTTTACTAGTATTTTCTTTTTTTTCATTTTGTTGCTAATTATTGAATTTCTTGATCATATGTCGTTTTTGTTTATATTTATATTGTTTTTTTTTTAATCTTCTGAAAATTTGTGCATAAAAAATTGTTATTAGTAAATCTTCAGATCTTCGACATGGGTATGATTTATAAACACTTTGACACTTCATTTTGGACCTAAATTATAAAAGTACTTGAATTGTGTTACAGGAATAGGTCTAGTACCCAAGTCCGATTATTATTATTGATATGTTTAAGGGTTTTATAATACTAAAGCTGATTAATTGCATGTTAACAGTATATAACGTGTCTATCATAAACTTGGTAGTGATAATTCAATGACTTTTAAAGTGAAATCTGCTTCATGGTTAAATGACATGATCAAAGTCAAATTCTATGCTAATTGGACTCGGGTGCCCATGTCCAAAATGGGTTCATGTCCAAGTGTCCGACTTAGCCATTTTGTGAAAATTTCAATGATTTTGAACTATAATGAAGTGTCTTGGTATTCTACCCACTTCCAATGTTGAGGGTATGAAGAGTCCGAGTAACATAGGTCAATTTAAGTAAGTATGCATAGTTTAACACTCTAGTACTCTTCAAAGAAAAACTGAGGCATGAGATGATCCACATGATTGAACTAAACACAGAAGGTAAAGTTTGATTTTAGTTGATGTAGATTGTGGGCTTTGTGGCAATGGATTGATGGTGTATGCTATAGCCTTATAATTTGGGAATTTATTGAATTGGTGTGGGTTTTTCTTGGATGCTCTTTCTTTTTCTCACTTTACTCACCTTTTTTCAAACTCTTTCAAATGATTATCTTGTTATGTTCTTTTCTTTATATCAATGTTGTTGTTGTTGAGAGGGATGAAATTTTTGCAAGTAAAAGTATTATTGGGAGTGATTATATTGCAATAATGGATATAATATAGATGCATGATAACTAAAGAAGTATTAGTTACTTTGTCATCTTAAAAGATGGGTAAGTTCTGAAATCCATTTCAAAACATATATAAAACTTCTAGAAGCTAGCTGAAAGGGAGTCTAAGGAATTCAGATGATGCCTTTGTTAATAAATTTATTGAAGTGCACTGTGTAAAATGATCTCTTCTGAGCTCCATGCCTCCATGTACAAAATAGCTTCCTCTGAAATGACTAACGAACCTCAATCCTACTTAACGGTGTCCAAGTGTAGAGAATTAGCCACTGAGAAAGAGGTGAGCTGACTAACCAACTGAAGTTAGGCCTCTTAAGATTGGGATTTTGAAATTTGCTGATCAAATATACTCCAGTTTATCTCCTATAAGCATGGCTACTCAGTGGTTTGAGTTACTATGTGTTATTTTCCTGTTCGTTGATGATTTAGTAGTACATTAGGAGTTCTTTTTAAAATGAATGTGATGGTTCAGTTATTGATTTGATTTCACAATCAGTGAAAAAAAAAAAGGCTAATTCACTTAAGGAAAGAGTAGAGAAATTGGAGACTAAAGTAACTAAATCTGAAAACAAGTTTAGCTCGATCTAGGAGAATAGCTCACAATTAAAAATACCAAGGTGCTGGTGATAGGGGATGTCCTGAAGATCTTTAGTGGCGGAGCAATTTGTGGATATTAATCTTTTCGTCAATTTGATCATTGTAGCAAGTTTTAAGTATAGTTTGATAATGTGAATGAATAAGTTTGTATAGTTAGGAATAAGATGTTAGGTACTTTTTCGATAGAGTACAATGGTAGTTTTTAATGACTATTAAGATTTAGAGGGATTACTCCCTCTGCTCCTTTTTGTTGGTTTACACTCTGACTATTTTTCTCTCAATAAAAGATTCAAAATGTAACCAACAAATAAGAACGGGAGGGAGTAGTTATCTATATAAGGTAATCGATGTACTCATTACTTTTATCATGCATTAAAAGTTTTGTCAAAAGTGGATGAGCTACGAACAAGCTAGAGCAACAAGCGTGTTATCTGTTGGGAACTGCTCGTATACAACTGTTCGCATAGGCAAACATTTCTGCGATGGCTTCCATAGACCATTATCATTTTATGAAACTCTACAAGTAGAAGTTTTACAGAACATTTGTTTTTTTTTTTAGTTGCATTTTTTCTTAGTTGATGGACAAGCTTGCAAAGTGATCATTGCAATGCTTATCGTATTACTGTATGAGACAACTTTTGGCTGTTATGTGTGTGAGCAAGTAGTTAGCTCTGTATCTTGGTGTAAAGTGCTTATCCTGCACTCATTATTTTCTCGCAAGGCCTCTCTAAGCTCACAAAATTACCCACAATAGGCGTTTTATGCTAGATCTGAATATTGATAAAATCCGTCATTAGGTCTTAATTACTGGAGTCAGTCTTCTAAAGCGGGGTCTTCTTTTCTGTAATACTTGCTTCTCTGAGGGAATTTATGCAGCCGTGCAGGAAGTTGAGCTGGTGGGAGTTTCGGGAATTTTAAAGTTACGCTTCTGTTTTCATTTTCAGAAAATAGAAGTTTAATAATCTTGTGAAAGGAGGGTAGTACTCACTTTCCAGTCTCATTTCCATGTACCCAGTACAAGGGATAGCTTCCAAGACTAACCTGTGCCTCAATTGTACTAACCATTGTCCAAATGTAGGAAATTAGTCACTGCAGCAGATATGGCTAACCAACGAAAGAGAGGCCCTTGATTTAAGTTGTAATTGATACTCGTGAAACCTCTCAATCTCTCATACAATTGTACAAGTAGACTACTCTAAATTATTACTGTTAGATTGCTCAGTATGTGTTGTTTCATGTACAGGGTGTGGTCCAATAATTGATATTGTTTCACGATCAGTACAAGGAAAAAAGGCCGACTCACATAAGGGAAAGATAGAGGAGTTTGAGACTAAATTAGCTAAACTTGAGGAGGAGTTGAGCTCTACTCAATTAGAGATACAAAGGCTGAGGTCTGTGTCGAAATCCCAAGATGAATCCAACTTAAGTACTACGTATCAAAGGCCAGAGGATGTGCTGAACATGTTTATGATGGAACGATCTTTGGGTAGAAAACTTTTTGACAACCTGATCATTCCTGTCGATGTTGGATCTGAGAGGAAGGGGAAGACAGTGTCGAGTACAGATGGAAATTGTTAGTAGTAACAAGAAATGTTCATTGATGTACTGTATTAATGCATTGTACTAGTGTTTTAGTGTTTGAACCCCTCGGTGTCCCCTAGTATGGCCTGTGTCTTGAACACCGTACGACACTCCTCTCTTGCTTTTCCATGGTTGATGCATCTAAGAATATATTGCCTATTTAGTAACATGAAAGGAAGCAAAGCAAGCTCTCTTGTTAGATGCGGAGTATGCTTCATGAAGTTGCACTTAATTATTTTCATACAAAATGCTACAAAGTAGAAATTGTAATTATTAGGTGTCGATTGCATGATATCCTTAAACTAATACTGTATCTGTATTCAAATAATCTCCTTATTAGATTTGGACATGAAACTTAAATCATCAAAAAAAAAATATGCAACATTCAATAGTATTAATTAGACTCGGTTTATTGAATCACAATCACCACAAAATTTAGATAAATACCAAAGATTTAAATGCCCAAAAAAATCACCTACACCATCATACAAGGTACAAACCATGTACTAGTAGTATATTTGAATCTCTCCAGCATGGTGGAGGATGTTCTAGGCTTTACCAATTCTTCCAAAGTGGAAAATCTTTGGTTGGAAATTGCTACATGAGCTCTTCCTTTGGCAGCTATTCTACATTCTCGAGGCTCTTTCCAATTGATCCAGTTTGTCCTTTTGTCATGTGGATGTGGAATCTGTATCTCATACATTCAGAGATTGTGGCTATTTGCAGTTTTTGGCTATCTGGAGCTTTGGGCGTTAATTAGGACCTTATGCAGTTTCCTCCGTTTAGTGTTTGGTTATCGAGTATAATTTCTCATTTTTCGTCGTTGAAGTATTGGAAGGGTATTGCTTCTTTATTTGCTCTTCTTTGGGCAATTTGGATTTCTCGTAATCAACTGAGGTTTAGGAATGTTGCTTGGTCCCCTAGGACAATCGTTGATTTAGCTACAAATTGGTTTCTTCGTAGTATGCAAGCTCTAGATTGGAAGAGGTCTTCGCAGTTTTCCTGTTTGGGTCATTTGGAGGCTAGGCAGGATGTCCATAGGCTTTGTCTACAGGGATTACCTTATATTTCTCTAACGGTTTGTTTGATTATAGATGGGGCTTGGGATTTTTTTACTTATAGGGCTGGAGCAAGCTGGATAGTTCGTGATCTTCATTCTTCTGAGGTACTAGGAGGTGGTTGTCGGGCTTTTATGGTAGGTTTAGCGTTGGAGTCTAAGCTTCAAGCATGTGCCTAGGGATTGGAGTTTGCTATTCGTAAAGGCTTCTTGAAAATCCGGGTTTATACTGATTGTGCTGCCCTCCTTATTTATCTTCCTCCGTCTGGTTCAATGGACATTTCTACTTGGTGGCCCATTCAGGAGTTGCGCGCTTCAGTTTAATCTTTTTTGGTTTGCCAAGTTCAACATGTTCCTCGATTGTGGGTGTCTCCTGCTCACTGGTTAGCTGGTTGTGCTAGGCATCGCCAATCACTGTATTTTCTATTTTAGCGGTTTGTTGACAGTTGTTATTTTGTTTTTATTATTATTTGATAGCTCTTTTGTCAAAAAAAAAAAACCTTCTATTTAACCAATCAAAAATTGTACACTAATTAGTATCATTTTTAAAAAGAAATTTTTACAATCCCCCTAGAGGTGGGCATCGTGCCGTGCCGGGCCACCACGGACTGTGCCTCGCCATGTCTAGTGGTGGCTTGTGTCGTGCTGTTTTGTCCTGCATTTTGACGGGCTGTGTCGTGCCAGGCCATCATTTCGCACACCCCAGCCCATGACACGGCATGACCCACGTGCCTAGTGTACCGTGCCAAGCCGGTCACCGTACCGCCCATGTATTTTTTATTTTAAAAAAATCGATATATATTTTTTTAACAACTTAAATGAATACACTTTTTGAGTAATTTTATTAATTTATGTGTATGTTATTTTATTATTATATTATTATTGCTCTTTTTATTATTCTTATTTTTATTATTATAGTTCTTTACTATTTATGTTATTTTTATTATTAATTTATTTGAAGCAGCGAATGAGTAGTCGTTTTACACGGGCCGTGCTGCATGTCGTGTTGGGCCGTGCTATGTGTCGTGCTGGTGGGCCATGCTCGCGGGCCAAAGTACCGTGCCGCTCGCGGGTTCGTGCCAGTGCCGAATTTTTGAAATCGTGTTCACGGCATGGCCCCTCCTACTCTTCATTCAGTCATCGTGCTCGTGTCGTGTTGAGTCATGCCGCTGGCGTGCTCGTGCCGTGATGTGCATTTTTGTGCCGGGCTCGTGTCACCCACGGGTCGGCCCGACCCCCTATTTTTTCTCTTTGAACGAGGCTATTGTGCCACTTTTTTATTTTATTTATTTATTAATCATTCATCATAAGATAATCCATGAGTACATGACCGTTGTGCCACTTAGTAAAACAGTTTTTGTAGAAATTTTCAGATTATATTTTTCATTTTATCTAAAGTCGTTCATAATTAAACATTTTTCTATGTTGCATTATTAATCAACTTGCTTACTCTATTGGAATCTTTGTCTTAATTTACAAATCCACCACCTCCAAAAGGTGTTCAAGTAATTTAGTATTTTCCATCTTTAGTTATTTCTACTCTACACCAATGGGATTACATCACAATGAAGCCTAGTATCCTTGTTAAAATTAGTTTAATTTAATTTCATATTAGAATTTAGAATTCTCTTGAATCTTAAAGTACAACATGAGGGGAGGATATTTTCTAGTGATGATTTTCTAGACAACATTAGAGACGGGCATGTAAATGGTGAAGTAAATGGTAAAGAATTGCCATGTGTATGTAAAATATTTTTATAAAATGTATCAAGCTGTAGTTTATTTTTTAATACAAAAACAATTTTTTCTTACTTTGTTAATCAATATGTGATTAACGGTAAGTTAAAATTTTGTCAGCTACATTGTATGAACAACAAAGTATTTCCTACTTTGATATTAAACTCTTAGGAGTCTTACTAAATTCTACTCAACATCCTTAAATATGGCCCTATTTGGTTTGATGTAAAATGTTTTCATAGAAAATGAATTTTCCATTTTTTCCCATTTTCCTTTGTTTGGTTTGTTAAGGAGTGAAAACAATTTTTCAAGGGTGGAAAATTTCATCCTTAATGATGGAAAACATTTTCCTTTTAAAAACAAGGGAAGCCACATTTTCCTCTATCCTCCTTACCTCTTTTTTTACTTCCCTCTCATTCATCCTTACATTTCCACTCTTATTTTTTATTTTTCTTGGACTTTTCTTGTATGCAACCAAACAAAGGAAAACTAATTTGCAATTGTGTTTTTCCTTGAAAATATGTTTTCCATGAAAACTAATTTTCCATTGAAAATGTTTTACATTAAACCAAACGGGGACTATATGGAGTACATATTTTGCACATCAAATTGAAATGTTTGTTAGTTGTTTTTTTTAATACATATTATAGATTGGGTAAAAACCAAATACAAAATAGGAGTCAATATAAAAAATCGTTTTAGTAAAAGTACCTTTGGTGTATCTTATATTGTTAATTCGTTATACAAAGAAAAAAAAAAAAAGGACAAGTCTTAGCTGGATTGACGATAAGATTAAGTAATATACAAACAAAGGTAATCAATCACTAATAATGAACATCAAAGCATTTAAAAAAAGCAAATGTAAATTAAAGTAATCAAGTAGTCCTCAATCATCCTCGCTACTGATACATGTTTAATGTATTTAAGCTGATCCTCTCTTTTTATTAAACTTTCCACTCGAAAAGTTGTTAAAACACTAAATGCAAAATGTTAGGTACATACATATATACTCCCTCCGTTTTTAAATATTTGCTCCATTTGTATTTTTTACATTATTTATTTGTCCTACTTTGACTAATATTTGTAATTTATACATGAAAAAAAATATAGTCTTGTGAGTACTTGTTGAAATCATCTCGATGAATAGATTATTAATTTTCAATTGTTAGAATTTATACTTATTGAATTAAAGATATTAGTGACCAAAGATTAGCATCGGCATGCGTGTTCAAGAGAAATGGAACAAGTATTTAAAAACGGAGGGAGTACACGATAACATCCCACATCTTCTAAACTTCCTTTTCAAATTGGACTAGATTATATCACTACATTTGTTAGCATGCGAAAATAGTACAGTACTTCATATTGCTCTTGTTCTTGTCATGGATCCCACTTACATTTATTATTTTGGGTGTAGAAACTAGGAAAGAGCTATGTATCGGAGTTACTTGTCCTCTCATAAATAAATAAATAAGTAATGCTATGTATAAATTAAGCTACTCTCGAGGTTTTATTGAGAAAACCCTCTTTTAAAGAGAAGGTAGTTACATAACTTTTTATATTATTATTATTTATTTATTTATTTTAATGCATCATTTTTAAGAGAAGGTAGTTACATAACTTATATCATCATTAGTGTGAAACTATAATGAGTTCTCTTTGCCTTAAGGAAAAAAAAAGGTTTTAGGCTTAATAAATAAAAATTAAGTTTCAAATATATGCGTATAATACAAATTAGTTAGGTCTAATAAGTTTCAATAAGATTCAATCCGATTTAATATTAACTTTAAAAATTTTAATGTGTGTGCTATTATTATTACTATTTAGAATAATTGTACTATTATTATATTTTTATTTATTCATGTTAATTCTAATTACTACGAGTATATTGGAATATTTATTACGGAGTATTAAAATAATATTTATAATAATTTATTTTAGTTTAATGTCAGATTAGATCATCTAAGTTTAGTTTAATTTAGGTTATTAGGCCGTTTCAATTCAATTAAGTCTAATTAATCTCAAAAGTCAAAACATCATGGCCTTAAAAAAGTACTATAACTAATAGTATAGATGATCAATAATTAAGTATGACTAATTAATTTGCTAATATTTGGTATCATGTATAAAATAATAACTCCAGCTATAATATAGTCTCATACAAAGTATTATTGTTGTGATGACGAATTCTTAATTAAGGCCGACTTTGATTCACTTATTGTAAGATGGGTTAAAACTATACCCTTAAATTATTTACAGTGCGTTCTATTCACCTGATTTTTACTTATTTGAACTTATTATCTGATCTTATCTGAACCTATTTTAACTTATCTTAACTTATATGAACTTATCTAAACTTATTAGCCCTTGTTAGAACTTATTTTAGTTATAAATTAAATTTGGGTAGTCCTGATTAACTCTTATCACAACTTATTATCTGATCTAAA